TAAAGAGATGTGAAAACAGGATTGTTTAGAATCAATAATATGCTATTAAGAACTTGTAAATTTTTCCTCTTTTCTTGCTAAAATTAGATATAGAACATTCAGCAACTCCAGAGTTAATTAGTGCAGCTGTGACAATATTGCTTTTATGAAAGATACTAAAAGATACTACAGAAAAATATGTAACATTTTAAATAGCATAAACGGTATTTGAGAAATGCTGTACTAAATGTCCAGCAGCAACTATTGACAAAAATATAATCATAACAAGCTATTTGATCTAGGTACTAGTCTTTCGGGAGAAGAAACCAGCCTTTGAATCTGAAGTAGCAGTAATTTTTAGCCTGGAATAAAATTAACTTGCATTTGAAAACCTTGAGAGCTTTCTAATAAACTTTCTATATCAGATGAGGATGCTTGGGAAAGACATGTTTAAGCAATAACAATAAAGATTCAAGGCATAATCACTTTTCCTCTGCTACTGTTGCTTGGATTTTGAACTGTTCTTCAATGAACGTGGAATAAATGTCAGCACTTTATGAAGCTTAACAGTTTGCAGTATTTTGACTGGCAGAAAGAAAAAAAAACCCTCCATTTTCTTCCTAAGCTCAATCTATCTTTCAAAGACATTATTCAAAATGTTTTTCTACATAAGGAATCCTCCTACACATATAAAGAGGTGAGAGTCAGCAAAATATCTTGAAGATCATCTAAAAGGAAGGAAGTAACATCTTGAAGTCAGAAGAATTTACTGTGTAAAGGTTGCCTGAAAATACACTTGATGAAAATGCTGGAAATACACACGCTACTGTGCTAAAAGATCACATTTAAATAAATGGGCTTTGAAACCCAATGTGAGAGTAAAAGGGTGATTTATTATTCTAATATATATCCTATGATTAGTCACCATGTATTATCTTTTTAATCAAATCAATTAGCAGGGGTTGGAAAGAGGAGGAACTGGAAAAATTAAAAAATCTCCAAGTGTTTTCAGTGCCTCAGAGATAGGCCTGCAGCTTAAGAAAAGGTAAGAATCATTTACCCACGCACAAAGGCTTTTTTTTTAAATGCATAAAAAGTGCTTAACTTCACTGAGCTAGCAATCTCTAATCAAAATTCTACTCAAGTAGAATAATAAAATCCTACCAAAGACTAATCTGAAATATCACCTCTCTCTGAAATAGCAAGGACATAAAATATGTAACTTTATTCACTACATGAGAATATGAACAGTCATTTCTTATAAATGCATTCATTGCTTATTACAGCATATATTCCCAATTAGCCAAGAAAGTCTTTTTTTTGATGAGGAGAGGGGGATTTGAAAGAGCCCAACCAGAGAACATTTATTCTAAGTACATTCTTTCTCAAATCTTTTAACTTCTCATCTTCCTTCTCCCTCACTCTTCTCTTTATCCCCAAGCTAAGAAACTTTTCAAGGATCAGATCATCTTCTACCATGGCATTGAATATAAAATCCTACAGAGATAAATGAAGCCACCTGCCAAAGTAGTACGTCTAGAAATTCAAGATGCACGAAGAACTGCTAATTGTCCATCAGTCCAGGCTAATCAGTTAGAGGAGCCAGAATTCAAAAGACTAATGCCACAGCCATTTAAAAAAAAGTTTTAAAAGGTTAGATAAATGGTTTCATTTCAATGGGAGAACACAAAGCATCAGAAAGCTATTTTACTCAACAGATGTGCTAAAGAGTGACCTGCATGTATGTTAGTGCACATAAACCCACATACTCAGGAACAAACCCAAACCATGCTCTATCATGTTCATGTTAACACAAAATACCTTGAAGACTCTGGACGGCTCTTTCACTGTCTTACGGTCATTTCACTGACCTTACTGAGAGCTGTGATACCATTTCAGTGACACCAGTGATACTTTTAAATACATCAGTTACATTAGTTTATTACTTTAGTAATACATTAGTTTATTCCACATCCCTGAAAGGAGGTCAGATCACTATCTCGAGAAAGATGTATACTTTAATATTAATTTTGATAGGCATTATAATTAGTGGTGAGCAATACAAACTGAATCTTTCATGATACGGATATCCCGAAAAGCATCATGATGCCATCAAAAGTGTCACCGTACTCCTAAACTTTTTGTACACGAGGGTCAGTGGGATCTTAGGGGGCTGTAGGTTCTCTCTTGCTCCTGCCATTGACCCTGCTTACTGTGGGAGATGGGAGGGAGAAGGAAAAGAAGAAACACAGAAGAAGTAGGAAGTATCATGGCCAGGTTATACACAGTTAGTGCTAATATTGCAGCAGTATCAGCAGGCAACGATTCTAGTAGAGTTTGATACTACATAGAATCAAGAAAAATACATAGCAACAGAAACTATTGTGGCAGTGATATATTGTCCATCATGAGCTGTAATATGACAAGGGTACTTACCATCTTTGTATGGTGCACAAGGATATGTAGATGAAAGTGTTAGGTAAGAACTACATGTTATGATCATCACTGGTAACTAATCTGGAGGAAAATACGGTGATTACACAGGTGAAAATTTATCTTATCCATAGGATTTTATAAAGACCTCAGACCTCTCTAAATCTACCTTAGTAAAATATTCACTTATGAATCATTAATTTAATTTTAATTTACATTTGAGATTATAGATGGTTTAGTATTTAAATCGGATTACTTTTTATAAGTGAATGCTGGCGGATTACTCTTTGTCAGATGAAGTCTACAATGTGATTTAACATTTTTGCTGGTCAGCCTAAAACTGCATCTATGAAGAATCCACAATACTGTAACAATCACCCAAAGGCCAAGTTTACACTACAGATGCCAGTCAGCAGCCCTGTGTTTGCCATGCATGGGAAGATGTGCAATAGCTGCGCTAACAATGCTGTGCAGGTAAAGTTATATCAGAAAACTTGGGCCCAGTAGTTGCTTTGGTATCGGTAACACAGTGTGATTTCGCTACAGTTACAAGAACTTCACTGAAATAACGTTTAGGTATGTTAAAACATTCTAGTTTTACACACAATCTAAGGCAATGGTTGGATAGTCACTAAAGAACTAGCTGCGTCAATTGAAATGTCTCTACTCTCGGGTTTTGTTCCTGTTCCTCTGCAGAGAAGGTTAATGCTCCCCTAGTAAAGACAGTGAGACAATGTAACCCAATACAGAAAGCTGACTAAATTAAGCTAAATGATTTTGTACTTAAGCAGATGGGGACAGCTCAGACAATCCCTCTTCCACCACTGTCTGTTCTAGTGTGATTAACCTCTGGCGATGGGAGGTGACTTCTGGCAGAGGAGTAACGACTTAGACGGAAGCTGTTAACACCTGCAGTGAGTACAATCATTTTTGCAGAGAATGCCTGACCATGCCTCCCTGTACATCCTGTAGGTCAACGCTGCTCTTAAATCAAACGGAGAGAGTTGCTTGAGGACATTGCAGCAATCTTAGGGATATCAGCTCCATTCCAGCCAAGAACATAATCTTGGAGCCATATATACTTAACTAATATGCTTTCTGATTAAGTCTCAGACAAATAGACTGTATTTTCCTATGGTGTGATCTCACACTAGTCAGAAGAAAGGTTCAGTAAGAATTCTCCTATTTTATGCTGTCCTAAAGAAAAAAAAAATCAAGGATTCTAGCAATTTGCAGCTAGTAACAAAGGTATTTGCTACAATTTGCATTTAAAAATACAAAATTAGACACTTTGAGTGATATAATTCCCCTTTGCTCTGTCCCCATCAAGAATAGGCAAAATGGGTAAGTCCTGACCCCAGCTGTAAAGAACTTCTGTGCTGCAGGCACTTTTGCAGATAGTATACAAACACTCCTTGCAAGACATGGGGGTTAAGGCCACTGAGCTGCTAATGGCCTACAATATGTAGCATCACAGGGGTCTACACAGGGCTACAGCCAAACACTAGGCACTTAAGAAATTATCCTGCAACTTCATTAAATTAAAAATGGATTTTTAAAAGAGTTAACTATTAAAAAAATATTTTAAATATTTAAAATAGTACATTTTATCACTTACTCAAATATTTTTAAATTTATATTTATTATTAAAATTGAGTACAGCCAACACTACAGTTCTATGGTTTTTTTTTTTAATATCATACTTCTTCAGTTTTTGATAAGCTGGAACTTTTCTGCACAGACAACGCATCCTTCTATTGCAGGAATATGGGGAAAGCTGAAAGCCTGGGAGGTAGGAGCAAAGCAGAGGGCACCACCAGCAGAGTGAGAACACTATCAGGATTGAAGGAAAATACTTTAGCTGAATGCTCCTGCTTAAACACTCCGCAGTGAAATGGCTGGTGGTGCTGGAATTTAAAATGGGCTTATTCTAAATTTCAAGCACAATGCACTGCCATGAGTGTTCCACTTTATATAGCTCAGTTAATTATTGAGTCTCTGCATTCAGGAAGGTCAAGATTTGAAGACTGTTTTTTCAAGAATTAGAGATAGAAACTTATTGCAAGTATAAAAATCAATTAGATTACGGGCTACATTTTTACAGTAAAGGGTTGATTGTGGAATTTTATAAAGTCTTCAGTACTAGTGAATAAATAAATATATACGTGCAAAGCCTGAACTCACATTCTAAAAATATCTTACGCATTTTCAGACTTGAGTAACGGAGACAACGAGAGTTTAAAATGTTAGTATTCCTGGCTGCCACAGTTACTGTACAGAAGCTGCTATGAGCAATCGCTTTTCTGGAACAAAGCACCTGACTGGTACAGGCAAGGGGACGACGGAAAGACTTGAGAGAGGCTTAGCATCCCGCGTCTCTAGGCAGCGCAGAGCTCGGGAGCAGGCTGGTTAGTAACGACACTAACACACAGGGATCGCTCTAGTTCTAAACAGTCAGATGAAGACAGCAGTTCAGGGCAATGACTAGGACAAGGCTCATGCTAAATAGAGAGCAACTTATTTGCTTTCACAGCTGGTGAGAAAGTGAAAAACCACAAATGCCTAGAAAAATGCTCATTGCCACCCACCTTCTGTGGTGACGGGGAGAGAAATCTCCATGCAGGCGGCAGACTGTGCTTTTCTAAAGGGGGGCCTCCCAGGCCCACGGCGATTTGCTTTGGTGACATCCGCACTAGAAAGTCGTTTTCCTGAACTGCAGCTCTGGGACGTTGGGCTTGTACAGTGACCATTGACATGATCTGGAAAGTGAATGCAAAAATTACTAGGTAAAGTGTCAGCGCCCCAAATTCAGACTGGAGGAAAGACAGAAGTTCTGATATGTAGGAACGGTCTAACCCCAATCCTCTGAGATAAACTATTTGTTTTATCAACCCAGTACACATAGGTAGGAATAACTTGTTATATTTTTAAGGTATATTTTGAAATTTAAAAAGGGACATACAACTGATGCATGTTCCTACAGCTGAAGATTGCACTGCGTTTTGCTGACCTACATATACAAGCAGTTTATCAAGATATGGATGGTAACACCGTCATCTCTGATGTTGTGTCTCCTCATAGATACCACACAGATTTGAAAACTATCTTTTCTTTTTGCTCTCCTAAATAATTGCAAGTGTAATTTATTACAAGATGGAGCTTACTGCTAGATATCTTACCCACCTGACTTGAAGATGATGTGCAGCAGGCATCTATGTTTGGGATGATTATAAGACTAGCCATAATATTGCTTAGTGTTTTATTCTTTTTATACCACACAGATTTAATTTACTGTTAAAAAAAATGACTACTGAAGAGGTGATATGTCTGCTACAGAGCTAAAGCTGTAAGGCCAAGGCTGACTTTGAACCCATGCCACAGGCTGTGGTCAATCAACACAGCAGGTATGCTGCTATCTGATAGGAGAATGAAATAAGGCTGCAGGAGATGCTGGCTATATTAGTCTGTTCCTCATCACTGGAAACAGGTCCTTTAAACCACAAAAATCCACTGAGCAATGCTTAGATCAGAGTTCAGAGCAAGTTGGACTGGATCACTGGACTACAACACATACTCAAGGGATACTTTTCTTCCTTTTACATTGGATACAATAATAGGAGGAGATGAATTACTGAAAGCAATTTTCCTCTCAACATATGAAAGGATATACGGCCAGAATTATTTCTGGTCTGCAGATAAGTCACGCTTACCATACGGAAAACAATTCACGTGCTATGTAATTTATATAAATCACAAGTAAAGAACATAAATTCAGATCTATGCAAGCACACTGAATATTTCTATTCAAAACAGTGGAAGCTCAATACTACAGGTAAGGGTAAACTTGGAGCTTCTGCCTTTATTTTAAATGTCAGGCCATTTATACATTTATATCTCAAAATTAGTCATTTAGATTCTGTACATACATATCAAACTCAGTTAATTCTCTTCGGTTTGTTTTGTATCCAAGGAAAATATGAATTTTAACATACCAAGACAAATGTACTTCATTGTTACTATGCCATTGTACAAAATCAAAATTTATTCCTATGTTTAAATGAGAAAACTGGCACAGCTCCTATACTGAATACAGCCTATAATGTACTATTGTATGTAATCTTCTAATTTGTAAGTCATGTCCCTTTCATGTGAAAGCAGTTTGGTCTTGAACAAAACAGGAAAGAATTGTTCAGATGTATATTTTAGAGAGCAATTTAGTATCTGTACTGCATAATGAAACAGTTCTATAGGAGACAACTTTCATGATTCTTATAATATTTCTTAATGCATGACTATTTACTGAGCTAACAGCAGATTAAAAAAAAAAAAAACTGACGTGGATGATTCATTCAACTTGTAGTTAGGGAAGTTTCCAAAACATGCTGGAACTATTCATATCTTTCAGTAGAAAGTCCTTAGAGATCAGGGCTTTGTTCAAGGGCACAGGCTGACTGTTCAACCTCAGCAACAGATACATCCTCATCCAGCTGTTTCCTTTCTTCAAAATTCAGTTTGTGTGAAGGAGTTTCAGTGTGATATCTAATTATCTCCAGGGGGATCCTATGAGGTGGTGAGGAACACAACAGAGTAAAAAGAATCAAATCCTATGGAAACATCAACAACATCTGAGAGTCCCTTTCCCTGGACATTGTACAGAATGGACACAATTCATCTAAGTCCCTACTGACTAGCACAAGTTTTAAGAGAAATTTTGCTGCCTTTCTTTTAGTATGCTTGTTTGTCTCAGCTTACCTTCACGGGCCCAAATTAAGCAAAAAATCAATACGATCTGAGCACCTAATTCCCCTTAGCTGTTTTGACAACGCCTTTCCAAATAAGCAAAGTCAGTTCCTGTGCAGAAAATAAATCAGACCTCATCCTAGAAGCTGCCAGGATTGCCTTCCAGAACTGAAGCTGGTGAAACGTTCATAAGTGTTAAAATATTGGAGGGAAGAGGGATTTTAGTGATCAGCTACACTCTTTTCAGTTCTGTTCTTCCAGTTAGATACATTTATTTGTCAAAGGTATACAACTAGCAGCAACGCAACTCTTCAAACCTTAGTAGAAAATAAAAGACTGCACAAAGACTAGTATAATTCTGAGATGCATGACTGCAACGTTTTTGTTGAGAAGCTGAGGAGAATGAACAAGATAAAACCCACCTCCCAGTTAAACTAGGGCTGTGCCCTACTGCAAAGTGATGTTGCGTCACAGTACAATATTCAGCTGGGAATCTCAAACAGCCTATTTCCCCGCAATAGGTACGTCTTCAAAAAAGAAACAGTTGGAGGGAAGGCCCGTGTGTGACATCAAATACCAGGCAGATGATGAGACTAAGAGGAACTGAGGAATTAAAATATTTGTTATTGTGAACTAGAGAGAACCACTGGCGTTGCCTTGGGAGAGATGCAGTGCACGACATGACAGCAGCAAGCCTGCAGGAGAGCCTCAAATCCAATCTTTTTTTTTTTTAAAAAAAACAAAGACTATTACACAGACATAAGGCATATGAGGTATATACATGGGCTAATTTTAGTTTACACTCATTAACATGTGTGTTATATAACCTGCATTTTCAAACACTGCAGTCGTACGTCTGCCTCACACTACTCAGTGATCTTTGCAAAAAGCAAAAGGAACCAATAATACACCAGTGAAAAGCTGAATCTCTGTTAAAACAAAATGTACTGAATTGTCAGTAAGAAAGGAGGAGTGTGCTTTTGCCGTTGCCGCCTAGACCGTTGTATTGCAGCGGACGTTACAAAAACAAAAAAGGACAAGAAAGACCTCTTTTTCCAGTTCTAACAAAGTGATAAAGTCACACAGAAAAAACTAGCTGAAAATCACTTCTAACTAATGATGTGAGAGAGGAATGACAATATCACCCTATTTTAGAAGGAAACGATCAATAAAAGAGCAGGTAGACAGAGCAGAGAGCGCTGTTTTAATATGAAGCAGAAAGATCCACAAAAATGATCGAGTCCCAGAGAATTTCCTCAGCAGATGCTGAGGATTACTATCTATGCTGCTAAAGGGAGGAAAAGCCCATCTCTTTGCACTATGGGATTTTCGTGTTATCAGTAAACTAGATTTTGATTGACAATTATGGGTGTGACTAACACCCTTTTTCTTCACAGCAAAAAAGACATACCCTTAAACTAAGAAAAAAAGAGACCTCATAGAGCTGTACAAATCACTGTACAGGACAGTCTCAGGTTTGCATAGAAATTACCAAACTTCTTAATTCTTCTTAATTGAAAATCCCTTGCAAAGCCATGATCACAATTTTCTCTTGTTGCAGTTCTGTCTGCCAGGCAGGGGAGAAGGTGCAGGCCCTAGCAGAGGTTGTTAGTGCAGATGTTCTGCCCGCAAACGTGCATTATTACCATCATGCTTTCGTCAGTTTGAAGAGGAAGGATGAGTTACCCTATTGGCATCTCGCTAGTACATTTAGGTCCACAGTATATGATGCTGTCGTTATCGTATACTGCCTGTACAACATAATAGTGTTCTCACAATGGTAAGGAGCGCCTACCATACACTTAATCCTAAACATCACCAGTTTCCTGAAGACAAGGTGAACAGATTTATTTTTCAGAGAAATAACAAATATTTTCAACCACATCCCAGTATTTTAACTGTACTAGCAGCAAAGCATGTGTGTCGTCACTGATGGAGCCCCTCACAAACTATTTTTGCCAGCACTTATGAACAATGAAACCACAATACAAAATAAACAATATCTAAATGAGAAACAGAGAAGATATTATCGTATGGCATAATATCACCTCTACATCATCTCAATAAGCAGACCCTGTCATTTTGAATTTAAAAATAAATCTAGCTTTGTTTTTTTGGAATGCTTCAGATGAATTCTACTCCTTGGTTTCCTCTGTCAAATCTCTAGTGATCATATAACATCACGCTACTGGACCCTTTTTCTCAAAAAGTGCAGATCGTATTGATTTTAAACATTTTGACTTTTCATTCATATTTGGGAAGATAAATTTTTCCCTGAAAGTCTTTGTTTTTAACTGGAGGTTAGGAATTGCTGAAATAATTGAGCTAGCAATACTGCTCTCATTTGTAATGCCTCTTTAGTGCTGGCTTCCAGATACAATTATTGAAACAAATAGCTACTGAAACAAGAAAAGACAGAACATCAAAGAGTGCAATTTTGTTTACCCACAGGAGAACACATTGCAGATCTTTTCAAATCTGTTGGCATATTTTTTACCTGGAAATCTAAAATGCCTACAGGGTTATTTAACATTCATAATTTTTTGTTGACCTATACCTTAACTTGCCACCTCAGCCTAAGTTATACACAATTTTTACATCATTATATCCCGAGAGAACTGAAGCTGGTAGCATTCTATTTTGCAACGTGATCAATCAGTGATGCACTTGTTACTCATAATTATTTTGGGTGCAAAAATTTGGTCTTTGTCCAAAGTGTCCTTGGTGGTGTGCCAGTATAATTTACAGGAAGAACAGCTGTTCCATAGATGTTAATACACAAATAACTTGCTTGCAAATACTCAATGGAAAAAGGCACAGATGTGGTCAAACACGGCATTCCAAATATAATTAAGCTTCCACATTAATTTTTCTGCAGCAACCAAACAATTCAAAAAGAATACAAATTTTAGTCAAACCTTCTAATATTCTATTACAATTCTTCTAATTCTAATAACATTCTTTTTAATCTAATGAAATCCTTCTGTGCAGAGACCACAGAATACAACAATATGTGTTT